GGTAGAGTACGAGGGAATGTGAATGGAAGAGAGAAAACGAATCGAATGAGTGAATAAGATAGCTTTATAAAACGTAAGTTATTGTAAACCAAGTCCAATTCATAGCTGTGAGGCTGAATAAATAAATATATTATAACCAAAAAAAAAAAAAGAAGAAGAAAAATAGGAGAAAGTTGTGGAATTAGAAGGTGCTTTCGTTTTTTAATCTTTAAAGGTCCGTTGGAAATATTGATCTAAATTACAAATTTCCACACGAACTTATGAATTGACCTAACCTTAAATCGTGTAACACGAATGTCCCAAAAACAAATAAAAATCTTTTCTTAAATTGAAAAATTCACTTATCGAAAATTGTACGAATTTTAAGTTAACACGAAAAAACCTACAATCCTTCAACGCTCGAGTAATCTCCTGAATGTTCAATTTGCGAATGATTAGAAATCCGACATTTCACGTACAGTTCAATTACTCAGTTTCTTTTTATTTAAAACTTCTCTTTCCAACAATTTTCCATAATTACGCGAAGCGCTTTATCCTTACGTTAATCATGTTTCACAATTGCATTACCGTTCGTATGGTGTTTCGTCTAGCTGAAGTGGTCCGTGGCTATTTGTATGTGCAGGATTCGCTGTCGCCACGCTTCCCCCGCGTCGAGTCTCACGAGACCGATGTCGTGGCTACTAAATTCTCTAATCCTGCAATCTTGGTATTAGTTCTCTCGGTTCCTACATCCGCTTCGTCTTGTACCACGGTGTCCAAATCAGACGTTATTGAATTTTCCTCGGTGGCCTTTTCTTTTGCGCTATAACAAACGATTTCACCAACTGATTCCTATTCGAGCACACCTTTAACCCTTCGACGTTTTATCCCGTGTGCGAGATTCGGGCAAAGCGGGAAATGTTTAACTGTTTAACTCAGGAGAGACTGTTGGGAAGAAAATTAAAAAGGGACAAGATATTATTATCATAACTATCACGTATGGTTATCTATCGCGTGTTTTCCCGTAACTATTAAAAAGATACCGCGTAAAATCTAAATTTTTTTTTACTGTGATTCATAATTTTATTAGACTGTAATTGTAATTTTAATTTTAACATTTTTAAAAAATTAAAAAACGCCGAAACGAAAGATTTGGCGACCGCAAGTGAAGAATATCTGTCGTCTGCAACGCACCTTACGCGCTAAAATCTGCCGCAGCGAAAGGGTTAAATTTACGACAGTGTTCTTTGACACTAGAAGTACCGACCGAGTCAAACTGACCATTCTTTTAAAAAATCGCGAATGTTCAATACTGGTAAGCATTATTGTTCCTAACTTTCCGAATTTATATTCTACAAGTATGCTTCCATTTGTATCTATATGAACCTAATTTTACAATCACCGTTTACCTACAGAAAAGTTCACCGTCGAAACGTCGGTAATGGGCCATTTTGACTCGGTTGGTAATTCTACAATAATGTTAACAACGGAGCATCTAGTACATAATGTAACGATATATTCTTTTCTGCACAGGCAATACTAATCGCCCTGGTGCTTGGCATCATCATCGTCGGGACTGTGATCGGGAACATTCTAGTCTGCGTCGCCGTCTTCTTCGTTAAGAAGCTAAAAAGACCCTGCAATTATCTATTGGTCAGCTTGGCGGTCAGCGATCTATGCGTCGCTCTTCTGGTAATGCCGATGGCGTTAATCTACGAGATCTCCGGTAATTGGTCCTTCGGTGCGAATATGTGCGTTGTTTGGGTTAGCTTCGACGTGCTCAGCTGTACAGCCAGCATACTGAATCTCTGCATGATCTCCGTAGACCGGTGAGTAGCCTTCGTGATGATTAACTTTTGGCAGAATTGAGTTTGGTGGATGATCGGGTCTTGGACGTAACTGGATTACACGTTAACTAAATTGGACGGGGGAAATTTTGGCTTATTGTAGTTGATCGAGTTAGCGAAGTGTATAATAATGTGGTTACGAAGTGTAACGGAATTATTCTCGCAAATTTTCTTGGCTATCCGCACAGAGGAGTTGGGTACACTGCTGTTCGTAAATATTAGAACACCTGTGTTACGTTCATGCAGAAAGTGTTGTGTGAATTAAGTAACATTTCTTTGAGAAAACATATATAGGGTGTTCGTGTTATTAGTTTACGTTTTTCTCGTGAGTGGTAGATTTCTGGGAGGAATAGAAGAGGACAAAGTTTCGTTACTCTTTAGAGACAATACGACGGCTTGAATAGAGTTTTTAAATTTGCAACGACTTTCGCGTAATTACGATACTACTATATTTCTTTAAATCGACAGAAATGGTAAAATTATTATAAATAGTACTCTAAAATTTATTAATCTATTATTAGAATAATGTAAATTATTGTAAATTGGAGATTTATTAAAATGTAAAATTAATAAAACTTTAGGTTTTTATATTATACGAAAATAGTTGCCGAGACGAGATCAAGGATCTACACAGACTCAATTTCGGTCAGTGTTAGGTGTGACATAATCAACGACACTCCGTTAGGATTTTATTAAAAAAAAGAAATAGATATTTAGAAGTTTTATCGTATGCACTTGTATCAGAAAATTCCAGAGCGACTAATTTTTTTCGGATCTGAATAATTTAGGTTTGCTTCACATTCGAGAAGTGTTCTAATATTTATGAACATGAGTGTACATTATGACATTGCTATTGTAGAATATTTGTCATTTCTTTTGTTTCATCAAATTTCTACGAATTTTGATATTAGCTTCGTATTTATATTTGCAATTTCTCGATAGACTGTTCACGATAGAACGAAGAACGTTCCAAGCTTCCTGGCCGATTATCTTCCCATTCACAATATAATCGTATTCTAGACTTCCAATACCGCAAAGAGAATGCACGAAACTGGGACACCAGAAGTAGTACGTTCTTCGTATGACGTTTTAGAATACAGAAGGACTCTTAATTAACGACGAAGCATCAACTTCTGTTTCTTCGAACAACACGTCGACGTCGTGTTCAGTCCCTTCTAAACTTCATTCCTTGAAGTACGATGCTTAAATATTATTCCACTCGTAATTTTACGTCCCTTTTATTTTTTCTTCCTTTTCTTCGAAACTGTAATAGTTCGAAAGAGTTTCCAATCGGGCATCTTACAATTTCTGCGTGTGTCTTAATCTGTTTCGAGTACTCCGAGATATTCCATTCACCTTCGAAGTGAACCTCGAATATTATGCAATATGTGCATACAGTGGGTCAGAGGTCGGTAACCTTTCGATTAAAAAGGACACGCCGAATGGCTGGCTTGTGATAAAGGGCACTTTACCTTAATTCTATACATGATATTAATACAAAATTCTACCGGTTCATCTGTTACGCGCGATCATCTTTTAAAACCATTTTGTAAAAATATCTGGCACAATGACGGGCACTTGGGTTGCCGACCTCTGCAGTGGGTGATCAAATTATTAGAGCCGCTGTTTTCCAGGCACGGGTCTGGAAATTATTCGGTCCTTCGGAGCAGTTGGAAATTTGGGAGGCCATCGAGCACTTTAACGTTCATTTAGAAGTTCGATGCCTTTCTTCTCGTGGCTCTCGTCCACATCTCTCTGTTATATTTTAACTTCTCGGGTTTTTGGTCTCCACTTTGGTATGTTTTTGTTAGCGACGAAGCGCTGCCCAGACTTACTACCTGCTGCGTTTATTGCTTCGAGACACGCGAGTTTCCGCGCGGCACTCAAGGGTGCGGACGACACTTGAGAGTGACCGTTGACATGGGGGCGTCCCTTTAGTTCTTTGTTTAATAATTCGCCAATCGCGTATAGTCAACCACCTCCCTTGTCGAAGTCGAAATTGTAACTAGCCAATCCGCGTGTCTCACACCCGCCGAATGTATCCTGACCGAGGAATCTTCGAACCTTTTCTGAGACCTCGAAATCAGAGTCCATTCGGCTAGCAACGAGTAACATTGAACCCTTTCAAAAAACAAACCTGCAAAATCAGCAAAGCTCGGAAGATCGCAAGATCACCGCGAGATACCGAAAATACGTTTTTCGTTTTTGTGTAGAAATAAAATCGCGATATCAAGGTTTTCGTCCAGCTACTATTGAAAAGCTACTAAAATTGGACTGCAATCGTGGTTATTGACACAAGTGTTAGAAAAAAGAACGACGTTTCGCGTTCACCAACCTGACATTTACCTCGGCGTAAAACTCGAAACCTTGAAATACTCGTAAAAAAGAAAGAACACCGAACAAGAGAGACAGTTGTCAACTTTTCATTCCCCCCGTTACCATGAAACAGACACTTGGCTCGAGCTCGGAATAATTCAACAACACACCTGTGACGCGTATTTTCTTTGCTCTTCGTGCAAAGTTGACGTATGAATTCGTGACAAGGCACGTGTCGTCTCAGAGAGAACGAGCTCTAAATGGGTAGAGGAAAGGAAAACAGCGTGTCCTGTGGACAGCGTAGAGAGACCCGGTTTTATTTAATCAGACGATGGATTTCCGTGCTTTGATAAGACCGCCGAAGACGTGCAACGAACCCTAAAATTGTCGTTTCGTTGGCCGCAGATTCTGGGCTATAACGAAGCCGCTGAAATACGGGGTGAAAAGGACAACTAGACGGATGATCACCTACATCATCCTCGTTTGGCTGACGGCGGCCTGCATCAGCCTGCTACCTTTGCTGATTATGGGAAACGAGTACACTTACTCCGAGACAGGGCCGTCACTTTGCGACGTCTGCCAGAATTTCTACTACCAGATCTGCGCCACGCTGGGGAGCTTCTACATACCCCTGATCGTCATGATCGTGGTAAGGCGAAACTTTTTAACACTAAATGTTGGCTCCCGCAATGTTCATGAAGCCTGATTATATAGCAGATAACTTTTTATTTGCAACACAGTTCTTTATGTACCGCTAATACAATGTAACTAAGTTCTTAAATGTTAAAGATGTGCTAGTCCAATGTCCTGAGGTTCAAAGTTCGTGTAATCGTTCGTACAAGAGTTCAGAGTTCTATTTCACCAATTTGTCCTTACAACAATGTCACACTCCTTTTGCCTCTCACTGTTCAGTCCTTTTATATGTTCTTGTCCGTCCATTTGGGTCCTTTGACGGGGGTGAGATTTGGGTGGGAGGCCAAGACTCCGAATCAAGTTAGGGCCTTGGTCGACGCCCGACGCCAACCGCTCACCCTTAGGGAAGGGGTGTTCTGGGTGAGGCCGCGTCACCTGAGCTTATGGGAAAAACCCAGGGTAACGGTCCCGGTCGCTCGCTCGCATGTGCCTCAGCTCGCGCCGGTTTATGATACGTCAATTGCTACTGAGATGCACGAAGAAACTCCAAATTCTCCGGTTTTTGCGAGAGGTTTGGAGCCCTCCTGATAATAAGGAATAATTAACCCTTTCGCGACTAGCGCCGGTTATATCCGGCATTCACTAAATCAGTTCACGAATAAATCTCAGAAGAAGGATAAAAATCTGGAATTCCCTGAAAAGAAATGAACGAATGTTCGTCGTTGCCGCGTGATAGTTCTGTTCAAGGGGATGACAGTATATAAGGTGTGTTGGAAAAGCAACGATGTGTCGAAGGAGGTTTGGAAGGAGGGCACAGATGATACGGTACTGGGTGTAGATGGGCGCTGTAGATGATTCGCGCTGAAAAACGAAAGACAGTAAAGCGCACACGTTAAATTAAATACATTATTGTTTAATTAGTTATTTATTTCACATTCACTGCCAACTAGTCCAAATGTGACTAACGAATTTTACAACCACTGATAAAAGCAATTGTAATTTTTCACAGTTGAACAAACTTGGAGTACAGTAAAATTAGGAAAATTGCTAAATTTTGCCATCTGATCACAGAAATATGAAACCTAATGCTCGTTTCAAGCATTCAAACACTTTCTGATTACTTTAATACGAGATAACGTGCAGCAGATAGGAGAACGACGTAACGCGGTTTTTTAAATAGAAAAACAGAAGTAGAATACTCTTATAACTGAGCCAGAGATAAGTTCAAGATGAATACATAGAATTTTCATAATTTTCACGGCGGCGTATGTTGATATGAACCAAGAGCGAGAGGGAGAGACAGGGGAGAGAAATAGAGAGAAAGAAAGACGCAGCGAAATCCAATATCCGATTGTAAAAAGGAAAAGGGAGATGAAGAAGAGCAGTACCTAATGGATTGAAAATTCCCCTCTCTCTCTCTCTCTCTCGTTTCTACCTACTTTTCATTTCTCGCTTTCAAACCCTTCGAAGAATTACAGTCACCGATCTGCTGGATTATTTTGCGAATATTAATGAATATTCAAACGTTTGATGTTGGAGAAAGAACGAGAGAAAAAGAGAGAGAGAGAGAGGATGCGCTTTTTATCGAGGAAAAAGTTTTCCATCTCTTCGCAAGTCGATCTCCATTCCGGTAATTTCGTGCCTTCGCTGCCAACGCGTAATGTATTCGCCGGAACGAATGAATTATCGATCCTCGATTTCTCTTTTTTCATTAATAGAGGCTTCCTGTTAACATCGGTTTTCCTTTCCTCGAAGGTATAATAATTTTACAACGGTCGAGCATGCGAGATCCGCGTTACCGTCAACTTTTTAATACCTCAATTAGGGGGCGAGCACCTCTGTTTGCTGATTGTTATCCCGATTGTTGCATTTCTGTGAAAAATTTTTCAGAGGCTCGCAAATCAAGTCAAGGTGTTTCTGGGAGACACTTGGTATTGTGGTTGAGAAAATAATGTCTTTGTCGACCCTTCTTTTCGTACTTCTCCCTTGCCTGGAAGAGTTCTTTGGCTTGGGGTTGGTTTTTAAAAATAGGTACAGTTTGGGAATTTTTTTTCGTAGGTCGTTATTGAATGAAAATTTTCAATTTTTCGCAGGATGTAAATGTAACTTTCAGCATTCTTCTACAATTTTTAGAAAGTGGAAATGTTACGAATGGAGGAGTTATTGTGAAGTCTCTTCTGCTGGAACATCACTTGCTTGAGAAAATTCTTTTTGATTTATAAATAGAAATGTATTACCTACAATGTGGAGTACGATTTTTTCGATATCTCAGTTATTTAATTCTCTAGAAACGTTTAAAATTGAATTTTTTTTTTTGGCCAAACGTGGTTTTTCCTCTTCAAACCTCCACCATTTCTATGATGGAGGTCTGAATTTTTGGAAAATCTTAGGGTATATTGTAGGTAATACACTGATGTCCTAGCAGAAGAGGTTTCACGATAACTCCTCCATTTTGTAACATTTTTACTTTCTAAAAATTGGAGAAAAAAGTGGAAAGTTACATTTACATTCTGTGAAAAAATTGAAAGTTTTCATTCAGTATTTACCTATGAAAAAAATTTCCAAACTGTACCAATTTTTAGATGCCTCGGGGTGGTGTATCCCCTGTCGTTGCCTAAAGTTTGCTTGCGTCTTGGGTCTTGATCACGTAGCTTAGGCACCTTGCATGACGTCTCACAACTTGGAAGAAAAATGAGAAAATTCAATTACTTCTTCACTGCACATTTTCATTCTCACAATCCTCAGTCGCTAATTTTCTTTTACTATTCGTCACAGTGTGCTGACAACGTGAAAACCGTTCCCTCTGGAGCTATTCGCTAGCTATACCATTAGAGCACGATAAATTCTCCCGAACCATATCGACGAGCCTTTGATTTGTTTTATGTCGCAGCGCAACCGGTTGCGTTTGATATACCGCCTGGGGCGAACGAACAGAAACATCATATTGTTGGTAATGTGTGCCTGCTGCTCAAACACGTTTAGCTGGAAAGCTGTCAGAACTTACAGACAGTTCCCTGGTGATAGTATTTTGTCAGTACTATGCTTCGAAGCGGGAAAAAATAAGGGAGAATGAGTAGCTGACGCAGTAATAGTGGATTATTCCACTAATAGAATAGTTTGTGGATTAGAAGTTGGAAGGATTAGTTGTTAATGGAAATGGACTTTCTCAATGGAAATTGTCTGGCTGTAGAAAGTGGGTTAGGTGACTGGTGAACTGAGCAGTTAGACGGGTGAATTTATAAATGAAAATGATAAGGTGTGTGTGCATCAGGAAATATTTTTTAACACCTACAAGTACTTACTTCAACCCTAATGCGGCCTTTGGGTCTTTTTTGACCCATCATCTTCTTATTTTTTTAGTAACTTCTGCTATTATCAAGTTTACGTTCCTGTTGGCTCCCACAATGTTCATGAAGCCTGATTATATAGCAGATAACTTTTTATTTGCAACACAGTTCTTTATGTACCGCTAATACAATGTAACTAAGTTCTTAAATGTTAAAGATGTGCTAGTCCAATGTCCTGAGGTTCAAAGTTCGTGTAATCGTTCGTACAAGAGTTCAGAGTTCTATTTCACCAATTTGTCCTTACAACAATGTCACACTCCTTTTGCCTCTCACTGTTCAGTCCTTTTATATGTTCTTGTCCGTCCATTTGGGTCCTTTGACGGGGGTGAGATTTGGGTGGGAGGCCAAGACTCCGAATCAAGTTAGGGCCTTGGTCGACGCCCGACGCCAACCGCTCACCCTTAGGGAAGGGGTGTTCTGGGTGAGGCCGCGTCACCTGAGCTTATGGGAAAAACCCAGGGTAACGGTCCCGCTCGCTCGCATGTGCCTCGGCTCGCGCGGGTTTATGATACGGCAATTGCTATTGAGATGCACGAAGGAACTCGAAATTCTCCGCTTTTATGAGAGGTTTGGAGCCCTCCTGGCAATAAGGAATAACTAGCCAACGAAACATTAAACGCGTATTAAAACCTTAACCTCAGAAATAGCAGAGTCGCGTCCTTATCGTAAACCTGGTCTAAACTTAAGTATCCTTAACACTAAACCTAACGACATTTTATGTGTACCTGTTGTTACCGTAAGCGGTCAAATGACCGCATATGAAGTAATCATATTTTTCCGAAAGGAACACAGAAAATAGTCTTCAGTTAATAATAAAAGAAAATTACATATTTACATTTTTATTTTTAACAAGAACGGGAAGAAACAGGTGCATGGTTTTGAATCAAATTTTAAAACCGGGCGTGGTACGTTTAGTGTTAACATTATGGTAATTCTGTTGGAAGAATAGAATGTATAATAATGAATTCTTTCGAATATTGCGATAATTCATTTATCATCTTTTCACTTTTGTTAGATTGTTCATTTATTTCCAGCCTGGTGGCTATGAAAAGGACTTGGTTTGCGATACATTATTTCCCTTATCTGTTCACGCTTTGTTTTGTCTTGTCACTCACGTATAGTCATTCTTTGGATTTCCTAACTATTTATGTAGATTCTTATTAATAATTTTATCTAACCTATTCTACTCTCCTACTCTCCTATTCTTTTCACTTCTTTTTCCTTTCTATTGCACTTTTTCTCTTTGGTTTCATTGTCCTATTCATCTTTGTTATACTACTGTCATTATTTTACTATTCTTACTATTTTATATCTTTCGTTTTGCCGATCATTTTGTTATTAGTACTACTGTCCTTTTTTATTATTTTTTTTATATTATTATCAATGTTATTATTTCATTATTCTTACTATTTCGTATTTTTCGTTTTATCGCTTACCATTTTTATCAATCATTTTTCTATTAAAAAATTGCTCCTTTATAATTTTTTTATATTATTATTACTATTGGATACTATTATTTTATTATCCTTACTGTTTCGTATCTTTCGTTTTATCGATCATTCTGTTATCAGTACTACTTTATTTCTTCTCTTTTTTCACTTTGACCATTGTCATCTCCAACGTTATCATTATTATTTCTTGTATCGAACTTATTGTTGGAATCAGATTTCACGTTGTTTCTATTTTCCTTATGCCAGTTTCTTTTCTAATTTATCGGTTTTCTCTTACTTCACTGTTTCTTCTTGTTCCTTTTACTTTCCTCAGTTTATTGCATTCAGTTCACTTCTTTCTCTCTCGAATCGTGTCTTCTATTATTTGTAATATACATTGTACCACTACAACGATTTCTATACACGCGTAATTCGACAGATAAATAATTGCAAGCTTGCAGCAGTTGATAAAAATCGATACAAGTATATTATGAAAATTTTCAAGGTGCTTATAGCGTGGGTGGAAAGAAAGTTAATACTTTCTTACATTCGAAAGCAGTTTCGAAAATTCTCACCGAAGAACTTCAATTTCCCCTCGAGGAAATTACACTTTTCCGTCGAACGCGACGAAAGAAACGTGCTTCCCTTCATTGTCTGTTTTAAAATGCTAATACGCGAACGCGACCGAGTGTAATTAGTAGAATTCTTTGCACCGTTCGACGAGCATTATACAGAAGCAAAGCGTGCCGCGAAATTCGAGACCGTCGTTGCTTTTAAAATCGTTTCTTAATTACAAGTTTCCGGATGGTTCCAGCTGAGATCCCGAGAGCCGGTTCTTAAATTCAAATTTAAAAGTGTGCTCCAATCTTAAGCTCGTGAGACTTCGTTCTAATTTCAATTATTTCTCGCGAGAATCCCCGAAGCTTTGGAATATTGGGAGAATAATTTTCAAAAAATTTCACCCGTGTAATTTTATCCTTTGTTCGTTTTAAACTGTTCTTATTTCAAAGTAAAATTCAAGGGAAAACGCGATTCTTTGCGATTTCTTTTTTTAGTCAAATTTGATCGAGGCTGGGTATTTGTATATATTTCAAGGAAACGTATTTTTGGGTTTTTGTTTATTGTGATACGTGAATTTCTTTGAGTTCCCTTAACGCCTGATATCGGACACTAGTTATATCTGCAATAATTGAAACGCTACCGAGCCGTTATTCTGCGTATCTCCTAGAGGAGACAAAAGGAATGAAAATAAGTTTGCTACGCGTTTCAGTCGCGTGTGCACAGGTAGAGAGATTTATTTAAGGAAATCGTTAAGCGTCCGGCGCCAGGGGAACTCCCCGTACTGAGTGCAAATGGTATAAACAATGTCCTTTTCTTTTTAATGACAATTTTGGTAAATTGTAAATCTTCAAAAAAATAATATATCCTCACACGATTCTGTACACTTTAGTTTCATTATTTCAAATTTAAAAAATCATTAGTTTTTGAATGAAAAAAATCTATATACCTACCGATAAAAAATATATATACCATTATATGGTATATGGTAGCATTCAAAAATTTTTTCATTCAAAACCTAGTGATTATTATAAATTTGAAATAAGAAAACTAAAGCCTGCAGAATCGTGTAAAAATACATTATTTTTTCGAAGAAACGCAATTTACCAAAATCGTCGGTAAAAAAGAAAATACACCAATCTAGTGAAACAACGCGTGTCGCGGATTTTTCTTCCAGAAAATGTAATATAAAAAAATAACAAAATCGATTCTTTCCCAAGTTCTACTGGAAGTGAGTAATTATTTCCGTGGATCGAGGTGGCGTGACAAATTGTTAAGCTTTATTGAATTAATTGAGATGCCGATGGTGTATAGTGATTAGAGGGTCATTGGGATTTAATGATATATCGGCTGACAACGAAGTTAGTTATCTTGATCTAATGAACCCCTGATTAATGTGTTAGAAAGTGCATCAGGTTGCTAAGTGGATCGTCGTACGGCAGCGCATCGGGAGTGATGATTATAATTTCTAACTCGGGCTAACTGGAAATTGAGCGGACCGCTCGTAAATCAAACCTAACACGTGGAACTGTTAAAACTTTGATAAACTGTACTACTCCCTTCACCTATGGACGATCTTCTCTACGTATTAAACGAGAAAGAAAATTTCTTTTTTCTAATTATTCATTGTACTTCGAGTTCGAAGAAAAATTGTTCTCTCGTATCTCGTTGATAAATTTGAAATTTGTTTTTCAAATGATTTCTCGTATTTCGTTGATAAATTTGGAAATTTAATTAATAAAAGTTCATCGTTGAGAAGGTGAATTTTCGTAGGACGAAATTTCGCGTTGCGTGAAAATGAATTTAATTGGACGGATGGACGTTGAATCGATATTCATTTTTTCCCCCCTCGTCGATTTGACAATTTCGCAACAATCGTGCCGAAAGATGTTTCATTTTTGTCGATTTTTATTAGGGAAGATTTTAATTTTCCAATAATTTTCTTTTTTAATGAATTTTCCAATGTATAAACCAGCATCACTTCTCACCTGCGAAGTGTTCCTTTTATTTTCGACTGGTTGATTTCGAGGAACATTTTCGACAGCTTAAAGAACGCTCTAAAGAGCTTTTATAAATTCTCGCCGAGATCTAGTTTGCTCGTATTCGTATCAGAATATAAAACTGTCTTCTCGCGAACGGAGAGAAATTTAGATAAAATATATTTTTCCTCATTTTGTTGTTGCATTATTTCACTCGCAATTATTTGACTGTATTACTTTAATACCTTTTAATTCCCACTTTTAAATTCTCTTATTATCTACTCTAGAGAGAGCGCGAGTTGTTCTAAGTAGATTTATTAATTCACCAGTGAAAGATACAAGGGAATATCCCGAAGTAACAGTCACCGATATTGATGGAGAACTTGATGGTACATAGTAGTTCTCAGAAAAATATGAACTCTTTAACGTTCATGCCAATGTCACACTTGCACAATTAATCGTCCAATAAGTGCAATTTTTTAAAATCATTTTCTCTAATTTTCCATATTGCGTTATTCTTTCTATTATGGCAAAAAAAAAGTAAATTTCAGTGTTGTAAATAACGGGAGACTTATTTCTACGCGCCTAAGAATTAATTAAAAAAATAAATAAAATTGATCTTATTTGGCATATCAAGTTGAGAAAAATGTGAGCGTTAAAGAGGGTTAAAGAGTTAATACTACGTACAATGGCACGTTATATTAATTATTGGCAATTACAAAAAATTACACACAATGAAAAACAAATTTCCATCGAGACAGGTGAAACCTTCACCGATAAATTTCCCATAAAACCGATACTTTTTGTACATACATAGTTTCGATCATGGCAACACACACAGGCACGTCGTCGATAGGATCGAAAAGTACAGAATTTCTGTCGTCAGAGTCGTCGATTTTTCGTTGGTCGAGCGGGAGAATTGACTTTCGACCTAGCATCGTCGAAATTGATTGGACGTTCTCACGCGTGGCAAACAAAACCGTGGAAATAATTGGCGGGAACACGAGTCTAACGAGTGACAGAAAATAAACGATTCAGCGTGTACACCTACGCGGTTGCTGTGTGTTAGCCAGTTTGGTTAACGCGAATTGACATAATAACAGTTAAATAATTGCCAGACTGGAGGAGAAGAGTCAACCGGTTACCGCGCGACAGTTTTATTGCAGCTTTAATTAACGCAATGAAACGTCGACGTTCGCGATGGACGAAGGGACGATCCAGAGTTTTATGCGAAGAAGAAAAGGTTGAAGTTTTCTGTTCGGTTGAACGAGAACTCGAGATAATTGGTAGAATTCAGATTCTTAATAACAATGATATGTTCACCCCAATCGAATTGACATGGTGTTTACACTGTGTACGCTTTGAGTGTCCTTATGATAAACAACCAAAAAATTATAAGAACAATGAAATCACAGTGTTTCAGAAAAAACATATTCGAAGGTTAGTTAGAACTAGTGAAGTAGATATGTATTTAAAAGAAGTTGTACGAAAGAACATCGTGAAAAAGTCACTCCAATAGGACACGAACCTGCGACAAGAAAGAACAGTCCTTATACTTCAGAAGATACACGGTGGTAACAACTTGAACGTTAAATAACTCGTAAACTATTAACCGTCTGCACCGAAAACTGGGTATCGGTAGCTTCAGTTTTTCAAACTCTGTCATTGTGCCGAAGCTCGTTAAAATCTGAGAGTTACACCTTGGGACCTTTCCTCGTTAGGGTCCAGTAGTAACACGAATAATAGCACGAATAGTAACGCGAGTAAAGAGCCCAAGTGATAACTCGTCCAAATAGCAACACATGTCACGTCAGAATAGTAAACATTAAAATCACGAAGAACACGGTCTTACAATAAGACAAAAAAAAAAAAAACACACTGTTGTAGTATCGGGGCCTCCATACGCACAAATAGGAAACCGACAAGAGAGATTAGAGAGGGGGTAGTTGGCGTAGCGCGCAAAGCCTCGGCTTACCACGCCGAAGGTCCCGAGTTCGATTCCCGTTGGGTTGCCCGAAATTTTTTCATCGTTTTCTACATTAGTTAACTCTCTCGTGCATTAATTCTCAACGCTTCCCGTGCACTACCAAAGTTCCCGTATCCTGAGTAAATTCCTTGAGTGGTTTGTTGTCTTACAAAGATGCGACTAACCGTATATGTGATCCGTAACAATACCAACACGTCGTAGCACACGAGACTTTAGAGCCTAGTAATACCGCGTGGAATAACACGAATAGTAACGCGAGTTACAGTCCAGTAATAACACGTCAAACAGAAAAACATTAAAATCACGAAAAACGTGGTCTTACAATAACGACAAAAAAAATCGAGCGCAAGCGTGATTTACGACCCCGCAAAAGTTCCAATAAAATTGTTGTATCTTGAACGCGACACTGATTCAATTCACAATTCATCATGCACCCGTGGTGTGCTTATTTCCAGGTGTACTACAAGATACTCTGCGCGGCGCGCAAAATAGTCCTGGAGGAGAGGAGGGCGCAAAGCCATTTAGAGGCGCACTGCTACCTCGACATAGAACCGACGGTGCAGCCGCATCAGCCGGTCGTCGCGAACCGTCAATTAAATTCTGACGTGCAAACCAGCCATGGAAGTCCGCCTGTGATGCAGCACCGAAGTTCGAGCGCCTCGACGACGGTGAGTAAACCAGAATTGATTCCACCTGGTAGAGCTCACACCGGATCCCCCGCTCCTCAACGTTCACCTACGCCTAACTCAGCCTGCAAGGCCTGACATTAGTCATTTCCCTGGGCAATTCGACGTCGAATCGTCGATGACGAATTACACTCCGGCTAAGTACGCCCCGGACGCTTACGCACGAATCGTTCCATTCGCGATGTGGGACAGACACACGAGCTTTCATTCGATCGGAAAACGCTTTCGCGACGACGAATTTGGATAATCGCGCGACGCTGCTTCTGCTCTGTTTGCTTGGAATTAGTGCCACGTTTTGCTTGTTGCAACATCGGTTGTTGATCGTTCGAATTTTTCCAGGGTGAATTCGCTTTTGGCGAAGTGATCGAACGAAGTTATTGGGATATGTTTTTATTTCGTCGAAAGCAGGAACGAAATATTGCTAATTGATACTATTTTTCGTGTTTTCATTGTTGCAGTCTATGAAATTGTGTTTAACTGTGGAAAGAAAGGTTTTGTAACTGCAAGGTACACGTGACGTCGTTTTATATACAGGGTGGGCCACGTGAAGGAGTTTCTTCAAATTTGAACGATTTTTCGTAATTTCACGGTTGTAAAGTATAGTCTGAAGTGTGTATACAGGGTGGGTCACACCTAAAACGGACCACCTAATTATCTTCTTTACCTACGGTGGTACAAGAAGATTTTTACACGCAATTTGAATGGCTGAAAATCGTTTTTATGAAAGAAATGACAAAAAGTAGAAGAAAATTTCACATTTGATTGAAATTTCTAGAGTTCAAGGTCCTACTTAAGACCATAGTAATAGCAGAAGAAAAATCTTCTGCCTAACCTCTGACGTGACAAAAGTAGCCGTTATGATACTTCACTTTAATAACATTATAAGAAAGAAAACCCACTTTTATGATTTTCAATTAAGTTTAAAAATTTGAATTTCGGCCAGTTTTATTTAAATAAAATACTTCGCTGTCTGAGAATTGCGATATTTTTGCGATATAAAATTACTCACCGAATCGAGATACTTTTACGGTACAAAATTACTCGATCAATCGAGATGTTTTTTTTTTTGGTCTAAATTTTATTAATCCTCCGGGTACCGTGACTGCGGCACTTCATTAGCGTCGAAGTACGCTTCGCAGCGAGAATTACTCGGTCGCGGGGAGGCACGCGAGCACAATAACCGGCGAAAACGGTTGTAATTTCGTTTGGAATATCGCGCGTGTCGGGAAACAAAAGGTCGGATTTCCAGCGATCTGCCGGCGATTTAATGAGGCGACGATTTCACGATCGTGCGCCGCAAATTAGCAGGGCAAACCTTTCGCGGCGCGAGTCTCCGCGCCCCGCGCCGGTTAGCAAAACACGTCGGATAAACCGGTCGTGTTTTGCCTCGAAATTGTTTAACGAACGCGATTTCGCAGCTGTCGAATTAGTACGAACCGCGAAATCGCCAGTGGAAATCAGATTTCCGCTGATGGATACACCAGGCATGCGAGAAACATCGCGCAATTGTTTGTTCGCGCACGAAAATTTCATCTGCTCGGTCAGTTTAGAGCGCGTCTGTCGTCGATTATGGTTCGCAGCTGTTGCAGTCGCGTTTGAAATTTATTCTGTGAAGAAATACCGCGGGAAAAGACGTGTTAGATTGGAAAACTAAATTCGCGACCTTCTGTTTTGCGCGTTCGATGGTGGATTAGGGGTGTTATTCAATGGAAGCTGAGCTGGGTGTGTTGAATGTGTGGGATCAATTCGTCAGGGAAAAAAGTATACACCGGCGCATAGCCAGCTCGAGCCTCGGCGCGCTACCTTCAACTGTCTTTTTGTCCCGGGGCCCGCGTGCGCTTTTCGCTCACACTTCACACACGCCGCACCTGTACGCGGCACACACGCCGCACCTGTACGCGCCACACACGTGTCGGATCAGTCACCACAAATGGATATTCCGTGAACTCGCTTATCGTTCAGGCGCTTTTTATATGCGCGCCGTCGATTAACATTAATTAATAATCGACCGATGGCGCATTTTCTTTTGTTTCTCGTGTCGCGCGAGTCGCAATTGCCGATCACGCTGAGAACGTCTCTTCCATCGTGACGTGTGAGACGGAAAGTGCGTTTCACTATGTCTAATATTATTTATTATCGCACTTTAGTTAGAAGTTAATAAATAAACACGAGGAACTCTACTCATCCCAACAAAATTCGTTTTGTCAACTCTCAGGGAAAGGGGTTATTCTGCAGTCTTTATTTCAAGTCTTTGTTATTGATTTTACGCAGCCAAAAGATGAACGAAGGTATATGCAAAGCGGCAATATTGCAACTTTCCCTGTCGCCTAGAAAAACGTCACGAAGTCGGCTGGAAAATCAGCTGTCTAAATAAATTCTTCCTTAAAAGCGTTTTGCTAGGTTATTGGATTTTTCGACGCTACTTAGAATTCTTAAGAATTTCTGGTTTTCCCCGAGAGTTTGTTAGGAGTTCCTCAAGTACGTTACATTTAGGATTGATTTTGCAACAGAAAGATTTCAAGTGTGCAGAAAGAAGTTTGTGGTATTTTAGAGGTTTTAAATATTCCTTCTTCAATTATAACTTTCTTCTCCCTTTCTGTTCCCTTCTTCAAAGACTTTGTAACAGCTTCTGCACTTGTGATTCCGTAGTTTCAGTCAGATTTGTGTGGTTGAATCCTTGAAATTTGTTTTCCGTGCTTTTTTCACGAAGGTTTGATAAGCTGTTGACTTTTCATCGTGGAATTATCGTTTACTTAAGAAAAGAAGACGAATTCGAGGGAAACGGAAATTTCAAAATTTTCTAGAATTGCAAAATATTGTAAAATCATTACAAAGCTATCTTTTCATTCATTTTCATATGCCAAAATACCTAATTGTTAAATCTACCGTTAATACTTTACATATTCGTCGCAAAAATTCAAATACAAAGGCGTAACAACACAAGTATTGTAATAAGCGTTTAAACTTGCACGTATCTTTGCACATTAATTTCCAGTGCAATTCATGCGTGAAGTTGCCCCGAAACAAGCCGCTAATTAGTCTTGTCTCCTTCGTTCCACTGTTCCAAAACAGTTTCCGTCTTTACATGTAAATCTTCATCGTTATAACGTGTGTAGAAACTACACTAAAGTTGCCGGCGATTTACCGGCACCCCAGTGTTTTACGAGGGCCATTGCCTGGACACTTTTATAACTTATTACTCTCGTACGTGCAGTAAACTAATTCGAGCAATTATCAGAGTTTAGCTTTGCAGAATTCCAGGAAAACTTCCTTACTTAACTCCTGTCCAGTCACGCGTTAATATTTTTAATCGGTGCTAAAGAGCGTAATTGTTAGGAGTTTCCTGTAGCCTGCTTCGTGGCGTCGCGTTGAGTGGTCACACTGTTGTCGTGTTCAATTAGGCAACAGCCATTCACTACGTTGCCTGCAAGGTTTGTCTTTAGGACCAGATATGCCGTAAATCCTGGAGTCTCCGAAGGGAAGGTGGCTCTGAATTTTTAGGCTTCGTTGGTGGACCACTTTAAGGTGACAAAATATAGGCCTCGTGGAGATTCCACGGGATTTTCAGGCATCCATCCACAGAACATTTTCTCCAGTCTTCAAGATAGCGCGCCGAGGGTGAAATGAGAGGTCTCAACACAAGGGAAAACTAATTGGTGTTTTAAGAATTAGAGAATCATTGTCACGTTGGTCACCTGTGACAGAAGATTGTTTCGTCGATGGGTCCATAGCGGTCATCGGTGACCGGAGTATAATTATAAAATAAAATGAATATTACACAGCTAACTAGACGTTATTTTCAATTAAAAATAATGATAATAATAATACAGCATGATAAGAGTAATTGTAGTATCGGGGCCTCCATACTCAAATAGGAAATCGACAAAGGAGAATAGAGAGGGGATAGTTGGCGTAGTGCGCAAAGCGTCCGCTTGCCACGCCGAAGGTCCCGGGTTCGATTCCCGTTGGGTCCCTCGAAATTTTTTCATCGTTTTCTACATAATATAATATTGTACCAATGGTCGTTTCATTATTCGTCAATAATGACAATACACATGTCCTATTTCTACGATTGTGTTGAAAAAAGTGGGCTTGTGGGGATATGACCCAATCATGACCTGATCACCTAGACCAGAATCTCACTTTGCCGTATACAGAGTGTAGATAAATCGTCAATAGCACTTGTGTTTCACCCAGAAACTGGTACTTCGATTAGTCAGCACGTCACGTGCTAAGTTTACCAATAGTCCTTTTCTGAAGTTTGCACAATGCGTTTCTGAAGAACAGTCTTTCTAGAATCTATACAAATCAAACGAATAACGATACGTTTCGGTGTATTCAATTACTTATCCTCGGGTTAGAATTGAATTTATGCGGTGCAGACATAATAGGATGAGTTTCATGAAGCTGATACCGAAGTGTGGGACGTTTAAAATTCAACGAACGCTGAGTAACATATATTGTATACGAACTTTCTTGCACACGTTTCACGCATAGAACTCTACGGTGTATTATAGATAAAGGATAATCGTTTCAACGTGGGATTATGTTCACTGAACGAGTAGAACGCCAGTGAAACTTTGTGCAAAGTAGATCTGTGACATATATAGCTTTTAATTCAAGTGTTCGTGAAGCTGTGGTATTATGAAATAAAAGTTTTCAGTGTATACTTTTAAAATAATTTTTATAATTTCTCAAATCGTTTTTAGCTTATTACTAAGTTTATTAAAATAATGTGAAAAGTAGACTTGTGTACAATTACTTTCAGAACGTAATTGGCTTAATAGCATCATTTATAATAAATAATCTTCACTTTTGTGTAAATATATTACAAACGTGTAAAATTTAGGTATCTTACTTTAATATTATAAATGTAGACTGATTAATTCTGTTTTAAGTAGTGTGTAGTAATATATTTAGCCAATGTCTGACATATAACGTGACATTCTACTTATTTCTCCTTCACGTCATTAAACTACCAT